AGATTTCCTTGCAGCAGCTACTCATGCTAATGTGTGGGCCTTCAGTGCAAGGCCCGATCACACAGACATGTCTTGCCCAAGATCACTGACTTCTCAAATACAATGTTTTCCACAAGGCTCCCAGTACACCTCCCTTCTCTGTGCTGTCTCTGTGGGTATCCAAGCAACCCTATCAGCATGTTTAGGGCCTTTCCCAGACTGCTCCCCAGAATCCCTGCTAGGGCTGCGCCCAGGATTTCCCCAGCTGAGTGCACAGTTGGTCATGTTTATGCACTTGTCTGCATTTGTGCAACTGTTCATCAGTGCAGATTTTTGCATGATTCTACACCGGTGTGCATGAGCATGTGCATGTTTGTGTGTCCTTGTGTGTCACTCATCAGGAGGGAATTTGCTGGTCACAGCAGGGGCACTCTCCATTGCTCTGTCCATGAGCTCCACAGAACAGCCAGAGCCAGAAGGCGCCTGAGCACAGCTGAACAACAGCAGAACAGACCTGGCAAAGAACCGCCCGCAGCACAGGCACTGAACTGCAACCTTCTGTATCTTCAGCCCTCCTTTTCCTGCCCCTGCAAAGCTCACACTCCGCTACTGCTGATTTCATGCCCCAGCAAGGATGGTTTGACACCAGTTTGGATTCTTAGTTGAATTCAGTATGACAGTATTCAGAGTGCCTCAGCATAGCTGGAAGTCAGCTCTCTGTTCCTCACCAGCCCAAGACACAGCTGTTGTCCCAAGTGCTAGAGAGTAAAAAAGGACGGGGTTTGCTTTATGAACTGCTTGTTTGAGGCAAGGACACATTCCTGACTCATTGTCACCTTGGTGTCCGGCAGGACCACCCAGGTAATTTTCTTCAAAGCTGCTTTACAACTGGGTGGTCCCCAGTACATACTGGTGTATGGGGTCGTTCCAAGGTGCAGGACTTTGCCTTTGGTGTCCAAAGGGGGAAGCATGGGTACCTTGTTGCCCTCCCACAGGCACTGCACCAAACCAGTTCCTTCCTGCTGTGACTCTCAAGGTGCTCACATTGGTTGGGCAGCTTATTGCAGTCACCTGCACCATCACCTCCTTGCACTGAAATTCCTCCTTCTTCTGGTACTGGTCACCCAGGAGCAGTGAGCCGAGGTACCTTCGGGGCACTGCCAGGTCCTCCAAGAACAGTGGCTGCTTTGTCCAGGGGATGTTCACCACCAGGGTCTGTGATTTGCAGGGCAACCTCACCCTGCAGCCTTGGCTGACAGAAGAGCACATTACTGCAGAATTAGATGCACAGCAGTGAAGGCTCCTCTCTCCATTGTACACAAAGTACCCACAAAATGAGAAACACAGCAAAGGCTGCAGATTTGCCAGGAGGCTGGAGAAAGAGAAAGGTGCTGCTCAGGAGCAATCATTCCCAGTGCCAGGGCTGCTCCTTGGCACTTCTCTGCTCACCAGCTCCAAGAACCAGGATTTTGCCTCCTGCCCCTGTCCCATTCTCAGTGCCTTTCCTTTCCACTGTGCCAGCAGTGGCTGGGGAGCCCCAAGCCCTGCCCTTATGCCTTGCACAGGGTGTACAGCTATGCTGGGGATTGGGCTGCTGATCCCTGCACTCCAGCACCCCACCAGCCCTCCCTGCCCCAGCCAGCACTGAGCCAATCCATTGGAATCAGGACTTCATCCCCATATTCTAGGTATTTATATGTTCACCCATTAAAATACCTTTCTTTCCCCCTAACCAGCTTCCTCCCCCATCTCCAAGTCATGCATGGAGAAACACTGAACAGCCGCTTCTAAAATAACAGAGGCTAAACTAAGAGAACCCTGAAACCTTTTGAAAAGAACACTCCACCTGCATTTCCCAGAGCCCTGAACGTTCGTTACGAGGAGCGGTTGTGCTTCAAAAGCCCTCCCACCAACAAAGAGCACACAATAGCAGATACACTCTACAGTGAGGGAGAGAGGTTCTCTTGCAGCGTAAATCTTACGAAGGGAGAGGGAAGCCCAGGGAAAAGTGCAGGAAACCCCTGAGGCTGTCCACTCTCTGCTGAGAAGGCAAGCAAAGGAAAAAGGAAAATGGGCCTCATTCTTGCCCTCCACACCCAAGAGGCGTGACTATGTCACGAACTCTCTGGCACGGTCTGCAGGATGCAGCTGTTTCATTGCGCTGCCAAGAGTACCTTGTCCTGTAGTGGGCTGGGAGTCTCTGGAGGGAGAGGGATTCTGGAGCCAGGAAAAATGATCTTCGCCATGGCTGTGCCAGCATGTGTCCTGATAATCCAGTCAGGTGGGTGTATTCCTGCACTTCCTATGGTATCCCACAGTTTTTAGTAGGCTACGCGGAGGTCTGTGCTGACAAGAGGAGAAATGCAGGGACGTGATGGAAGTAGATATCTGACCCTTCCTTTTCTTTGGAAAGACAGAAACGTTTCGGGCAAACACAGAGCAATTGAGAGAAGGAAGCAAGCTGCTCCACACACACATTTCTGCCTGTGTTGCAGGTCTTGTTGGAGGTGACCCGCAGAAGCAACTCTCTGAGGTGTCAGCTGCAGTTGGGCAGCGAGTGGTTCTGCCCTGCCAGTCCACTACCGAAGACAGTGATGGCAGTTTGAATTTCTTCTGGTACCGCCAACTCCTAGGGGAAACCTTGACATTTCTCCTGGAAGCATTTAGAGCTTCAGGGAATGACAAGTTCCGCAATGGCAAATTCTCTGCGGTGGTCTATGAAAATAAAACAGTCCCCTTAGAAATAGCAACTGTCTCTTCCCAGGACACTGCAATTTATTACTGTGCTCTGAAACACCACATTAAGCTAAGCCCCATTTCCGTTCGTGCAAAATCTGCATCATCAAGAACAGCATGGGAGGGGTGAGGCTCTGCATCTTCCAACCTTTCATCTCTGAAATGATCCTCTCCTTATATCAACCTTTCTCAATATCTCCCATCCCAACTCCTCCCTACTCTTCTTAAAGATCCCAATCTACGCAGTTATTCAGACCAGGGACTTAGACATGCAGGACCATGGGACTGTTTGCAGATGAGCTGGGCTACTCAGCTTTCCTCACTTCCTCACACAGTAACCAACACCTCTCAAGGAAACCATAAACACCCCTGGACATAACCACCAGTTGCAGCATCAATCCTTACCTGCTCTTGGTTCCTCTAGGAGCCGACACTGCAGAACCCAGTGCTGCTGGGGCGACAGTATCCTGGCCGAGGTCTAGATCCAGCTGTGGGCAGAGCCAGGGAATCCATGTCTCTGCTTTGCTCCTGGCCAGCCCTAGCCCTTGGCACAGCTAGGAGACCCTCATCTTGCTCCACTTTGCAGAGCAGCCAAGGAGTAGGAAAGCAGCTTTTACCTTAATGCCTCTGCACTGGGCAGGGTAACCTTCTCCATGCTGCATATGGTTAAATGACGAGATTCTCACACAGCCCCGTCAGTGTAAAGTCAACTTCTTTGGGAAATGCTAATAAAGAGAAAAGCTAAAGAAAGCCCGGTAAAACGAAGATATACCTAAGCAACCAATAGCATTGCAGCCCATGAAACAAGAGGCTCTACATATTAATAAAAGGTACCCCCTAACACTGCCCTGAGATCATCAAATAATGATTGGTGAAGATGAATAAGATGATGAAGATGATGACAATGATAACAACAATGATAACGATGACAATGATGATGGGGTTCCCCTGGTGGTGTGCTCACTGTTTGGTAGCACTGGGGACTCAAAGGCAATTTGGTTTGGGCAGCCCAGAGCCCAGGCAGGACTGTTCTCCCCATAGAACAGGCCAGGGATCCTCCTTGCAGCCACGTGGGTCCTGACTCCTATAAGAGGTTTTCCCACCAGGACAACCATAACTACAGTACACTGGGCATCACCACACTGTATCTGAAGGACACCTTCTTGTGTCCTGGCAGGAACGACAGGGAAAGACACCCAAGGCTGCCCTGGCAATTACGATTACTTTTTTCTTTACCACCTCTCAGTTTTTGGGTTCGGGGTTGGCACAGACAAGAACAGTGCCAACGGAGTAAGAGGGCTCTGGCTGGAGCACAGAGTGGGGTGAAGGTGGGGCAGGCAGGGGTGACAAGGGTACAGGCACGGTCAGCGTGGGGAAAGGCAGGGGTAGCTAAGATGGAGCAGTTCTGGCTATGTGGACTCCCATGAGGGCCATGAAGCCCTGAGGGCTCAAGCAGGTCCCTGCAGCCCCAGCACCTCCCTACCAGCATCTGCCACTGCCACCTCTGCTGTTTCCTCAACATGGAAGGCACAGTGGACATAGCCCAATATACACTGGTCACCAAAGGACAGCCATACAGCCCAGCAGGTAACAAGGGCAAGAATCAGTTGCAAGATGTGGGAGGAATGATCTGGGCCTTGCATGGCAGCAGTGGAAGTGGGAAAGGGGGAGCTCTGCGGTGTTCAAAGGAGGAGCAAGGGGGAAAGCGACAGCACTGTAGGGGTCGTTTCCGCACTGACTCTTGATGCCGGGGGCAGGGGATGGGTCCTTTGCTGAGCATGGCATTGCCAGCCCCTTCCAAGCGTTTGTCCTTCCGGCTGACCAGGAAGTGTGAGGAAGCTTCAGCCGCTTGCTGAAGCCAGCCAGGTCCCAGCGGTTGTCCCCTAGAACCCTTGGGTCTTTTGCTGAGCATGGCATTGCCAGTCCCTTCCAAGCAAGCTAACACCGCCCATGTCAAAGCCTCCCCTCTGCTGCCTTCTGTGTCCCAGGTTTTCTCGCTGGTCACAATGGCCCGTGCTAGGGACTCTCCCTTGGGTCAGTTGGGCTGTCCTGGGAGCCACCTCGCCCAGCTTCTTCGCCAATGTCAGTTGCTTGCTGAAACCAGCCAGGTCCCTGTGACGCCTGGCCGAGGCCATGCCATGCCATGGCTGTTGGGGGTGGGCAGACGCCCGGGTGCTACCCCGGCGAGGGGCCGAGGTGTTGGGTCAGGCAGGAGCAGTGGCGAGTGCGGCTCCACTCGGCTCCACTCGGCTTCTGGTCGGCGCCGGGGCGGTGCTTGGGCGTGGATGGCGGTCGTGGTGGGGCCGTGGCTCCTGGCCTTGGGCTTGTGCTTGGGGCCGGCAGGTGAGAGGCGGTTGGGGAGGGCACCAAGCCCAGGGCTGGGGTCCCAGGGCTGGGGCTGCTGCCACGCCGGGCGCACTGTCGCTCACCTTCGTTCACGGGGAAGCGGGGGGCGTGGGCGTGAGAGGGAGAGGCCCAGAGAGCGGCAGGCGCAGGGTTAGGAGGAGGCTTTGGGGCCTTCGGTCGGGCCGGAGTGTCGGGAGCAGGCGCGGCTGAGCCCCGAGGAGGGCAGGCGGTGCCTTGTCCCGGGCGCGGGGCTTTGTCGGGAGCGAGGGGGGTGGCGTCGGTGTCTGTGTCGGGGCGGGGGTCTTTGCCGGGGCGGCGTGTGAAGGTGGTCGGGCCGGGGTCGCGCCCTGCCCGGCTGCCTGCGCTCTCCGTCCGCAGGGGGGTGGGCGCAGCTGAGGCTGGAGGAGGCCGGCGGAGGGCTGCGAGCGCCCGGGGACTCCGTGCTCCTCTCCTGCCTCTTCTCCGGCTTCCACTTTGGGATACATGGAATTCGGTGGTACCGTCAGTCTCCCGGTGGCAGACTCGAGTGGGTGTCCTACATCAGCTCATTCTCTGGTTTTACAAAGAAGTATGGGTCAGCAGTGGAGGGTCGAGCCACGGTGTCCCGGGACAATTTCCAATCCAAGTCTACTCTGTCCCTGCGTGCCCTGCGCCCCCGGGACTCTGCCCGCTACTTCTGTGCTGTGCACACGGGGACAGGAAATCCAGCTGAGCTGTAACACAAACCTGCTGGGGCCCAGACCAGGGCCTAGGAGCTGGGGTGGAGGGGAGTGCTGGGGCAGCTCAGGCCTGCTCCCAGGGGGAGTGTGGCCACCACAGTGCACCGCAGCTGATCCTGGTCTTTGACCAGGAGCTGCTTTTCCCTGCACTGCCCTTTTCCTTCTCCTGGGTGCCAAAAGCAGTGCTTTATTCTGCAGAGGATATTCAGTGTATTCCTTATCACCCAACCAGGCTGGCCACTCTGCCTGCCTGCCACCCCTCTCTGCCTGCCCCTGCTCCCCTTCTTCCCTGGGGCACTAAAAGGCTTTGGCTTCATCTACAGCAATGTCTGCTCCCGTTGAGCTCCTCGTGGGCCGTTTCCTGGCACCATGAGAGCAAAGCAGTGGGGTGACAGCCGTTCTTTTCCAGGTACCTTTCAGGGTGATGAGATCCAAGCGACGAGGTCTGCAGTGTGGTGGCAAGCAGGGAGTAGCGGGAGCCTGCGATGCACTTACAGCTCCAACGCCTCCTATATTTACGTGGCCTGGTATTGGCAGCGTCCCGGTGGTGCCTTGGAGTACTTGCTGCAGAGCAAGGGCCGGGGAGGCTCCTACAGCCACACAGCTCCTTTTGCCCGCAAGAGGTTTTCCTGCCAGGCTGATGAGAGCTCTGGGACGATGGTGGTCACGGGCCTGGAGCTGGGGGACAGTGCGCTCTATTACTGCACCCTGCAGGGACCACAGTGAGAGGCACTTGGAGCGTGCTTGAACAAGATCAGCTTCCTCCTCTCCTGCTGTCCCCTTCTGCATGTTCATAGGAGTGACGGCCCATCTCAGGGGCGAGTCAGTGAGTGGTTTGTGCCTGGGGTCAGAGAGAGGGGGGTGTCATCATGGCCGGGAGCTGTCGGTGGTCCAGCAATGTGGGAGACCTGATCAGAGCGGATGTGTGGGCAGAGAGGAGCTGTGGAGAGGTGAGCAGGAGCTACTCAGGCCATGGGTAGCACATGCAGTAGCCAGAAAGGATGTATCAACCCAGACTGAGCTCCCGGGACAACACAGAGCCGTCCAGGCCTCCGGCTGCAGGGAGTGACACCCACTTGCACTGGAACCAGCTGGCAGTAGAGGGGAGAGCTGTGTAAGGTGTGATCAAGTGGACTACCTACTTGGCCTGGTGGCCAAGCTAAGGGAGGAGGTGGGTAGGCTGAGGAGTATCAGGGAGTGTGAGCAAGAGAGAGTCTGGTGGAGCCAGGCTCTGGCCTCCCAGAAACCTGAACAGGGACAGGCGCTGGAATAAGCCTGTGATCAAAGGGATCCAGTATCCTCCCCCCACCAGGATGTAGGCAGGGTCTTAAAGGCCAGCAGCGAGTGGAAACATGTCCACAGTCGGGGCAGGAAGCGACCCCTTTCCATTGCCCACCACGCCTGCACAGGTGCCTTTGCACAATAGGTACGAGGCTGTAGATGGGGAGGACCAGTCAGTGGACAATGTGGGTGTTGATCCATCTACGCCAGAGGAGTCACCGAGACCAGAAAGACCTACCCCCCCATATTACTGCCACCTCCACGAGGAAGAACAGACAGGTCATAGTTGCAGGAGACTCCCTTCTGACGGGAACAGGGGGTCCAATATGCCGGGCTGACCCTCCTCATGGGGAATTCAGCTTCCTCCCAGGAGCCTGGCTTAGAGATATCACTGGGGAACTTCCTAGCCTGGTACAGCCCTTGCACTAGTACCCAGTACTGCTCAACCACATGGGTGGTGACGAAGTTGCAGTACGTAGGCCAAGGGTGATTAAAAGAGAGTTCAGGGCCTTGGGACGGTTTGTGAGGGAATGTGGGGCACGGATTATTTTTTCCTGCCTCCTTCCAGTGATGGGCAGTGACACTGGAAGTAACCGGGGGACCCAGTCTTTTCAAACATGGCTCCGTGGCTGGTGTCACCATCACAACTTTGGGGTTTTTGAGAATGGGCTGGGCTACACGGCACCAGGCTTGCTGGTGTCCAGTGGGAGCCACCTTTCTGAAAGGGGAAAGAGGGTCTTTGCTCAGGGGTTTGTAGACCTCATTGACAGGGCTTTAAACTAGATGCGAAGGGGGAGGAGGAACATAACAGGCTTGCCTGTGACAAGCTGTGGGATGATACACACTGATTGGAGGGTGCTAGTATGAGCCCTCAACCTGTTGCCCAGAGGTGTGCTGGGGACACTGCAGCACAGTCAAAGTCTTGTGGAGATGAGGTGGGGACTCCCGAGGTAGGAGGAGTCAACAAGGAAACCTGCGTGAAAGAGCTGAAGGGAAGCAAGGGGTGTTCCACTAAGGTGGTGACACGGCCAAGGGCCCAGAGGCAATGCCGCTACACAGAT